ACATCATCGTAGAAACTCTGTTTAAAAAGATGTCATGTGGCATCATTAATATTATTACTTTATTATACAAATACAGCCTTATAACAAATTCTTGGTCTTCTGGTATGGAGATGAATGCTCCGAGGTATTTATTTGGATCCGTGAGTCTCGGAGAGATTGCTATATTCGCTGGTGGAATTGATTCTCACAGGAAGATTCTTGATTTCGCTGAGATGTATAACTCTGAGCTTCAGACTTGGACAACTCTTCCGATGATGAACAAGCCGAGGAAGATGTGATCTGGTGTTTTCATGGACGGGAAGTTCTATGTCATTGGTGGTATCGGTGGTGCTGATTCCAAACTCTTGACCTGTGGGGAAAGGTATGACTTAGACTCCAAGAAATGGACTCATATCCCTGACTTGTCGTCTCCAAGAAGCCGTACTGATGTGTATACCTTATCGAGCCTCAAAAGGCTCATTTTATTAGTTAAGATTTAATGTACTATTTCCATTTTTAAATTATATTATTAATTATTTATTTTTCTTTATATTGTGTATTTCTATTTCTTATACTTTATTTTACTTAATATCTATATTTTACATTTTAAGATAGATGTTTAATGATTAATGTACTATTTCCATTTTTACTTGTCTATTTGCTTATTGTTATTATTGTTATTATTATTTATATTATTTATTTATTTAATATATCTATATTTTACATTTTAAGATATATGTTTAATTATTAATGCACTTTTCCATTTTTCAGTTGTGTATTTTCTTATTAATGTTATTTTCTTATATTCTATATTTACTTAATAATACCTATATTTTGCATTTTAGATAGATGTTTAATGCTTGATGTACTTTTTTAATTTTTTAAATTGTGTACTTTCTTATTATTATATATATAATTATTATATATTAAAATGAAAAACTATATATTATACCAATATTTCAAAAATAAAAAAAATTAAGATAATAAGGTAATAATATTATGATTAATTTTGAAAAATGTAAAATGGGGATATTACATATGTTTAATGTGGTATTTCCATTTCCAATGTTATATATTTACATATTATTTTTATTTTCGAAATTTTATATGTATCAAGGTAATCTTACATATGTTTAAAGTAGTATTTCCATTTATAATGTTGTATATGTACATATTAGTTATTATTTTCGAAATTATATTTATCAGTAATATTAAAACTATACATTATATCAATATTTCGAAAAGGTAAAATTAAACATATACTAATAAAATGAGTCTTTTGAGGCTCCAGAGAGCGTTCACATCAGCGTAGAAACTCTGTTTAAAAAGATGTCATGTGGCATCATTAATATTATTACTTTATTATACAAATACAGTCTTTTAACAAATTCTTGGTCTTCTGGTATGGAGATGAATGCTCTGAGGTGTTTGTTTAGATCCGTGAGTCTCGGAGAGACTGCTATATTCGCTGGTGGAATTGATTCTCAGAGGAAGATTCTTGATTTCGCTGAGATGTATAACTCTGAGCTTTAGACTTGGACGACTCTTCCGAGGATGAACAAGCCGAGGAAGATGTGTTCAGGTGTTTTCATGGACGGGAAGTTCTATGTCATTGGTGGTATCGGTAGTGATGATTCCAAACTCTTGACCTGTGGAGAAGAGTATGAATTAGAGACCAAGAAATGGACTCATGTCCCTGACTTGTCGCCTCCAAGAAGCAGTACTGATGTGTATAGCTTATAGAGCCTCAAAAGGCTTACTAGTTAAGATTTAATGTACTATTTCCATTTATAAATTATATAATTACTTATTATTTAATTTTCTTTATAAATATATCTATATTTTAAATTTTAAGATAGATGTTTAATTATTAATTCACTTTTCCATTTTTCAATTGTGTACTTTCTTATTAATGTTATTTTCTTATATTCTATATTTACTTAATAATATCTATACTTTGCATTTTAGATAGATGTTTAATGCTTAATGTACTTTTTTCATTTTTAAATTGTGTATTTTCCTATTATTATATATATAATTCTTATATTATATATTAAAATGTAAAACTATACATTATATCAATATTTCAAAAATGTAAAACTAAACATAATAAGGTAATAATATTATGATTATTTTTTAAAAATGTAAAATGGGGATCTTAGATATGTTTAATGTGGTATTTCCATTTCTAATGTTTTATATTTACATATTATTTTTATTTTTGAAATTTTATATATATCATGGTAATCTTACATATGTTTAAAGTAGTATTTCCATATATAATGTTGTAAATTTACATATTAGTTATTATTTTCAAAAATATATTTATCAGTAATATTAAAACAATACATTATATCAATATTTCGAAAATGTAAAATTAAACATATATTAATAAAAGGACTTTTTGAGGCTCCATAGAGCGTCCACATCAGCGTAGAAACTCTGTTTAAAAAGATGTCATGTGGCATCATTAATATTATTACTTTATTATACAGATACAACATTTTTACAAATTATTGGTCTTCTGGTATGGAGACGAATTCTGCGAGGTGTTTGTTTGGATCCGCAAGTCTCGGAGAGATTGCTATATTCGCTGGTGGAATTGATTCTCAGAGGAAGATTCTTGATTTCGCTGAGATGTATAACTCTGAGCTTCAGACTTGGACGACTCTTCCAAGGAAGAACAGGCCGAGGAAGATGTGTTCAGGTGTTTTCATGGACGGAAACTTCTATGTCATCGGTGGTGGTATCAGTGGTACTGATGTGTATACCTTATGGAGCCTCAAAAGGACTTAGAGACCAAGAAATATTGTGTATTTTTATTTCTTATACTTTATTTTACTTAATATCTATATTTTACATTTTAAATACATGTTTAATGATTAATGTATTTTTCCATTTTTAATTGTCTATCTGCTTATTATTATTATTATTTATATTATTTATTTAATTAATATATCTATATTTTAAATTTCAAAAATAATTATTAATTCACTTTTCCATTTTTCAATTGTGTATTTTCTTATTAAAGTAATTTTCTTATATTCTATTATTACTTAAAATATCTATATTTTGCATTTTAGATAGATGTTTAATGCTTAATGTACTTTTTTCATTTTTAAATTGTGTATTTTCTTATTATTATATATATAATTCTTATATTATATATTACAATGTAAAAATATACATTATATCAATATTTCGAAAATGTAAAACTAAACATAATAAGGTAATAATATTATGATTATTTTTTAAAAATGTAAAATGGGGATCTTACATATGTTTAAAGTGGTATTTCCATTTCTAATGTTTTCTATTTACATATTATTTTTATTTTCGAAATTTTATATATATCATGGTAATCTTACATATGTTTAAAGTAGTATTTCCATTTATAATGTTGTATATGTACATATTAGTTATTATTTTCGAAATTATATTTATCAGTAATATTAAAACTATACATTATATCAATATTTCGAAAATGTAAAATTAAACATATACTAATAAAATGAGCCTTTTGAGGCTCCAGAGAACGTCTACATCAGCATAGAAACTCTGTTTAAAAAGATGCCACGTGGCATCATTAATATTATTACTTTATAGTACAGATACAGCCTTTTAACAAATTCTTGGTCTTTTGGTATGGAGATGAATGCTCCGAGGTGTTTGTTTGGATCCGCGAGTCTCGGAGAGATTGCTATATTCGCTGGTGGAATTGATTCTCCGAGGAAGATTCTTGATTTCGCTGAGATGTATAACTCTGAGCTTCAGACTTGGACGACTCTTCCGAGGATGAACAAGCCGAGGAAGATGTGTTCAGGTGTTTTCATGGACGGGAAGCTCAATGTCATTGGTGGTATCGGTGTTTCTAATTCCAAACTCTTGACCTGTGGGGAAAAGTATGACTTAGAGACCAAGAAATGGACTCATATCCCTGACTTGTCGCCTCCAAAAAGCCGTACTGATGTGTATAGCTTATGGAGCCTCAAAATGCTCATTTTGTTAGTTAAGATTTAATGTACTATTTCCATTTTTAAATTAAATAATTACTTATTATTTATTTTTCTTTATACTATGTATTTCTATTTCTTATACTTTATTTTACTTAATATCTTTATTTTACGTTTTAAGATAGATGTTTAATGATTAATGTACTTTTTCCATTTTTAATTGTCTATTTGTTTATTATTATTATTATTTATATTATTTATTTATTTAATATTTCTATGTTTTACATTTTAAGATAGATATTTAATTATTAATGCACTTTTATATTTTTCAGTTCTGTATTTTCTATTAATGTTATTTTCTTATATTATGTATTTACTTAATAATATCTATATTTTGCATTTTAGATAAATATTTAATGTTTAATGTACTTTTTCATTTTTTAAGTTGTGTATTTTCTTATTATTATATATAATTTGTATATTATATATTAAAATGTAAAACTATACACTATATCAATATTTCAAAAATGTAAAACTAAACATAATAAGGTAATAATATTATGATTATTTTTTAAAAATGTAAAATGGTGACTTACATATGTTTAATGTAGTATTTCCATATCTAATGTTTTATATTTACATATTATTTTTATTTTTGAAATTTTATATATATCATGGTAATCTTACATATGTTTAAAGTAGTATTTCCATTTATAATGTTGTATATTTACATATTAGTTATTATTTTCGAAATTATATTTATCAGTAATATTAAAACTATACACTATATCAATAATTCGAAAATATAAAATTAAACATAATAAAGTAATACTATTAATGATGTCATGTGGCATCTTTTGGAAGTAGGTTTTGACGCTTACGTGAAGCTCTCTAGAACCTCAAAAGACTCATTTTATTAGTATAGATTTATTAATTTGTATAGTTGATAATAACTCACAATTTTAGAATTTAAAAGCTAATATTTTTTTGGTGTTGAAGCATAAAGAAAATTTTGATCACAGCAGAGAGGAGAAGGCTCCCACTACCAAACAGTAGAGGTAGAACTTAGAAATGTTGAATTTATCAACAATTTCTATCTAAACGGGCCCATTCCAGTTCAATGATAATGCTAAAGAAACAAAGTTCGTAGTCGGTAGCAAGTAACCAAGAAAATGAGTATAGTTGACTCTTGACTTACAAATGTAAAACCATTGACTTCCATTTCGATAAAGTTTCTTGAAACCAAGTTGAAAAGTCGAACAAAGCAAAGATCCAAAGACCACACAAGCTTCAGCTTCAGATCCTTGTCTGCTCACTAACTCCCTTGTAAGTGTTCTGTTACCAAAAAGATTGGTTAAGATTCATCTCTATTTTCTAGGATTCTAACATGTTTCTTGAGAACACACCGATTAGTCTTATCTTGACTTGGTGATTCTATAGCCGTTTGATTGAGATTATTGCTTCTTTCAGCTGCAGAGAAATGGTGGACGCTGTGGTGACAGTGTGTCTTGAAAAAGCCCTGAAAATCCTCGAAGAAAAAGGCCGAGTTGTGTCGGAATACAACAAACAGTTGAAAGATCTGCAAGATGAGTTGCAGTATATGCAGTCTTTTCTCAAAGACGCAGAGAGGAAGAAGAGGACGCACGAGGTGTTGCGCAAACTCATCTCAGACTTGCGAGAGTTGGTCTACGAAGCTGAGGACATACTTGTTGACTGTCAGCTCGAGGATGGTAATGAAGCTGAAGAGGACAACAACGAGCAAAGACCTTCATCAAACGCGTGGCTTTCACGGCTCTACCCTGCTCGTGTCTCCCTCCAGTACAAGAAAAGCAAACGTCTCAAAGAGATCAACGAGAAGATATCATCCATAAAGACTAAAGTCGAGCCTTACTTCAAGTTCAGGACGCCAAGTAATGTCGGTAGAGACAATGGCACCGATCGTTGGAGCTCTCCTGTGTATGACCATACCCAAGTGGTTGGTCTCGAAGGAGACAAAAGAAAGATCAAAGAGTGGCTCTTCAAGTCAAACGAGAGCGAGTTGCTGATGATGGCCTTTGTAGGAATGGGAGGGTTAGGTAAAACCACTATAGCTCAAGAAGTGTTCAACGACAAAGAGATAGAGAACTGTTTCGAAAGAAGGATATGGGTCTCTGTGTCTCAAACCTTTACTGAAGAACAGATCATGAGAAGCATCTTGAGAAACTTAGGTGACGCAAGCGTTGGAGATGATCTCGGAACATTGCTGAGGAAGATCCAGCAGTATCTTATGGGGAAACGGTATTTGATTGTGATGGACGATGTATGGGACAAGAACTTGAGCTGGTGGGACAAGATCTGCACAGGACTGCCTAGAGGACAAGGAGGCAGCGTTATTGTGACGACAAGATCAGAATCTGTTGCTGTAAAGGTTCAGGCGAGGGAGGACAAGACTCACCGTCCGGAACTACTTAGTCCTGACAACAGCTGGTTGCTGTTTTGTAAAGTGGCGTTTGCAGGAAACAACGGTGTCTGTGAGAGGTCTGAGCTGGAAGATGTTGGGAAGGAGATTGTGACCAAGTGTAAAGGCTTGCCTTTAACGATCAAAGCCGTTGGTGGGTTGCTTCTGTGTAAGGAACATGTCTATCATGAGTGGAAACGAATCTCAGAGTATTTTCAGGATGAACTAAAAGGAAACGCTTCTGAAACAGACAATGTGATGTCTTCTCTGCAGTTAAGCTATGATGAACTCCCTTCACATCTCAAGTCATGTTTTCTCACGCTCTCACTGTATCCAGAAGACTGTGTTATACCGAAGCAGCAGTTGGTTCATGGATGGATAGGAGAAGGGTTTGTCATGTTGAGAAACGGAAGATCTGCAACTGAGTCAGGAGAAGACTGCTTTTCAGGACTCACTAACCGTTGTCTGGTTGAAGTTGTTGACAAAACATATAGTGGAACTATCCTCACTTGCAAGATTCATGACATGGTTCGTGATCTGGTCATCGATATAGCAAAGAATGATTCCTTCTCTAACCCTGAAGGCCTCAACTGTCGTCACCTTGGGATTAGTGGAAACTTTGAGGAGAAGCAGATCAGAGTTAACCATAGACTAAGAGGCCTTGTGTCAACAACCAAGACAGGTGAAGTGAACAAGCTTAACTCAGAGCTAGCCAAGAAGTTCACTGACTGCAAGTACCTGCGAGTTCTCGACATCTCAAAGTCCATATTTGATGCTCCTCTCTCTGATATTTTGGATGAGATTGCGAGCCTTAAGCACTTGGCGTGTCTTAGCATGAGCAACACACATCCATTGATCCAGCTACCACGTTCCATGGAAGATCTCCAGAATCTGCAGATTCTAGACGCTAGCTACTGTCAGAATCTGAAACAGCTTCAGCCTTGCATTGTCATGTTCAAGAAACTCCTTGTGCTTGACATGACAAACTGTGGTTCACTTGAGTACTTCCCCAAGGGAATAGGAAGCCTCAGGAGCCTCGAAGTGCTGTTGGGGTTTAAGCCGTCCATGTCAAGCAATGGATGCAAGCTCAGTGAAGTCAGAAACCTCACAAACCTCAGGAAACTTGGTCTTTCTCTGACACGTGGCGACCAAATCCAAGACGATGAGCTTGACTCTCTGATAAACTTATCCAAGCTTATGTTAGTCTCTATCAACTGCTATGACAGCTATGGAGATGATCTTGTAACCAAAATAGATGCTCTCACCCCTCCACACCAGCTCCATGAGCTTTCTCTAGAGTTCTACCCTGGAAAGTTGAGTCCCTCGTGGTTGAGTCCTAAAAGCCTTCCGATGTTGAGGTACATGTCAATATGCTCAGGTAATTTGGCCAAAATGCATCAGAGATTCTGGGAAACTGAGAGCAACACTCACTGGAGAATCGAAGCTTTGATGTTTCATTCCTTGTCGGAACTAGAGATAGATTGGGAAGAGCTTCAACGGTCCATGCCGTACCTTAGGACAGTGCACGCAAACTGGTGTCCGGAGCTAGAGACTTTTCCTATAGAAGATGTCGGTTTTAGAGGAGGAGTGTGGACGAAAACTCCAACACGCAGGACCTGATGATGGCACGTTTTCAAGCAAACCGTTTAATGTTTATGTATGCATTATATATAGCAACATAAAACGTCATGTAACATTGAACCGTTTGGATATTATATCGAAGTTTCATTCTCTAATAACATATAACAAAAGAGTAAAAGGCAAAACAGAGACAAGTGATGAGAGCTTGCTTGATCAGTCGGAGTCAGAGTCCAGATTCTCTGAAGACCTAACCGAACGCCTAATGCTCTCTTGGTATTCAGCATCTTCATCATCTTCCTCTTTCTTCTTCTTGCTGAGCATTCCTGTTTAATGATTTGCACATTTCAGAAAACAGAACTCTATCTGAGCTGTAATTACTGAAGAAGGTGCATGTTCCTCCATACCTTTCTTAATCAGAACGTTCTCTAGTTTAGTCGTGGTGAAATCGTCCTTTGTGCCAAGATCCTGGAACCCAACTAGCCTATCTACCGCGATTCCCTTGCTAAGAATGATAAAAAAAATCCATACTCTATCAGTATAAAACCTAGCCACAGATCATGTATGTAAGAATGAAACGAGAGAGATGAAACCTGAAGAGCAAAACGCAAGGCAAAGTCTTTATTGCTAGTTTTGTGACAAAGAAAGGAGCATTCTGCATTTATGTAAGCTAAGCATTAGACTCACAATACATATGGGATAGCTGAAATAAGATTTCCTTTTTTCTATCTTTAATCAAGTGGTTCACTGACCTCTGCGTCCACTTTAATGAACTTAGTGTCGACATGTCTAGGCGCAAGAGTCTTCAGATGCTTGTCCATAATCCTATCCATATGTTTTGTATGAACTCACATATCAGAAGATGAGTAAATAAAGCAAAAGCTGATGGTGAGGGATCTTTACTTGCAGCGGTAAAACTCCTTATGGTAGAAATGACAAATCACTTTCTCACTCCTAGTGACTTCTCCCAAGAAATCCCCCTCGCTTACCTCTCGAAATTCACCATGCCCTTGTCTTTTGAACAATTCTCTCTTCTCAACTTCTCTCTGTCAAAATAGAGATTTAGTTCAATACCAATAAAAAAAACAAGAATATTAAAAAACTAAATAGGCCAAAAAAGTTATCACCTTGAGTGCTGCAATCCTATCAGCGTGCAATTTTTCTAGCTCTGGATCCTACAGAACATGAGTCCACCGTTAGAGACATAAGCTTCAAAAGTCTCAACGTAACAAGATCTGATAAAGAATCAAGCAAGAAACATTGCACTTACATCCATAAGCTCATCAAGATCAACCTCCTCATTGACATGTTTTGATGATTGCGCCTTCTCATTTGCTAGCACTTCCTGCACAACAAAAACATACAAATCCTCACAGATCGTGTCAAAACATCACAAAACTCATAAACTCTACAGACATAACAAAAATCATTTTCAACAACTATTTCTTCAGACGCAACAACTTGTCTGAAGCTAATGTGCATAAAGAAAGAAACCCACCAAGATCATATACCAAACACACACACGAAAACGAAGATTGAATGTTATAAATGTCCCTAAAAATTCTGAGAAAAAGGCATCGCATTTGATGGATTTTTAAACCAATATTTAAAAAACAGAAAAATATTTATTTAACCTTTTTATAATCTCTAGCAGCTGCCGCCAATACGTTTCCGAACGCCAGATTCGAGAGCGTCGACTTGACTGCATCTGGATCCATCCTTCAATTTTCAAATCTGGAGCGGAAAAGGAATAATAATAAATCCCAAAATCAAAAGATGAACGAACATTAAAGGTGGAAACACAGACGAAAACGACAACGTTTTGAGCTTCCATTTCAAGCCCTTGTGTTTATAAGCCAAAGGCCCATACGGCCCAAATAAGTTATTTACAGTCTACACATTTAAAACTTGATACGTGGCGCTAAACAACACACCAACGTCTTTAAGTGAACGCCACGTGTGTCTCTCGTAAGCAACACTGAATAATTATTTTCAGTATGACATTCCTATCCGAAGCCGGTTCTATATAAGCATCATTGATGAGTTTCTGAATCTTCACCGAGGATAAGGTAATATCTACTCTCAAAAAGTACAACAAGTTGAGCTTTAATTAGATTCGAAAGAGGAAGATGGAGCCGTACCAAAACCAGTCCGGAGCGCAGCAGACTCACCCACAGCTTGACCAGTATGGGAATCCAGTACTCCCTATAGGCACCGGGGCATATGGAGGAGCTCCGGTCATGGCTGGTCATCACAACGAAGGTGGTGGAGGTTTGAGTGGTATGCTTCACCGCTCTGGAAGTAGCTCTAGTTCTAGCTCATCGGTACGTGTATACTTGCTTTTCTCTTTCATATCTAGATTTAATATTGTATATATTTTATAGAACTAAATTTGTTAACCATTAGTTCAATAAATTTTTTACTGTTTCACTAAATATTAGTTATTTAAGTATCGTAAACAAAATATAGCAACATGTTGATAAGTTCTTTTTTTGAAAAGAAAGTACAAGTTCATAAGTTTTAGGAGCAAGATATATGAACATGTTGACGTTATATGAACAACTAAAGATTGGTTTCATTTATTTTAACTTCCTAGATATATGAACATATTTTTGTTTTGGTATAAGAACATGTTATAGGGACAAAGTATATAAGTACAAACCACAAAGCTTGTAGTAAATTAGTGATCTCGTATATGAATAATTCCAAAGTGATGATCATACCAACTAACTCGTATATTATAATATTTTGCTCGTTTATGTTTTTTTTTTTTGTTGGAATAGTTTCGTTTGATATTTTCATTTTAATTCATGGTTGGAGTTTTAAAGTGTATGTTACATATTTTAAATATTTATAATTATAACTTGGGAAAAGGCTGCAAATTGCAGCTTTTGATGATGATAGTTTAAGAGCATGTTTATCCCTTGTTGCTTAGAGAGTTGCTTAGGGGGAGAGGAGTGCTTATTTTGAAGAGAGAGAGTGTGAAAAGTGCTTAATTAAGCACTTTTCACACTCTCTCTCTTCAAAATAAGCACTCCTCTTCCCTTAAGCAACTCTCTAAGCAACAAGGGATAAACATGCTCTAAGGTAACACGTTCGTGAATGGATGCAGGAGGACGATGGACTAGGTGGAAGGAGGAAGAAGAAGGGAATTACAGCGAAGATAAAGGAGAAGCTGCCAGGTCATCATGGGTCCCATCAGACTTCTTCAGCGACTGGCACCATACCCGTTTATGATGCCACCGGCACTGTCCCCGTTCACCACGAGAAGAAAGGCATCATGGAGAAGATCAAAGAGAAGCTTCCCGGAACTCATCATTAATTAGCTTCAACTTCCTATAGCAAAAAGTATTATGTTTTGTGTAATAATGTAACGACGTGGCTTTTTGCAGTCATAAAATATATGTCTTATATACATAATGACGTGGCTTTGTAACGCGTATGGTGGTTACATGTGATGTAATGCAATTGACAGAGCCACAGGGTTCATGGAACTGGTATAAATCTACATTTATGCCTTTTGCTTTCAAATTGTTTTAAGTGAATGGAGATTAAGACTTTTAGTATAGGGGTCGCTTACCGAGTCCATTGGCATCTTGCTATTTTGATTAACAAATAGATATCGACGTATACCGTAATCGACATAATGCTTTAACCAATCATGTATGCGAACATTTCTAAAGAAACAAGCAGTCGTTAGTATTTACCTTTTCACACTAAAGACCAAACACCAAGACCAAGTAATACTGTAATGCATACATATAATACTGATGACGCTTTTGAGTACTACTTAAATTAAGTTCTGTAACTGTAAGACGGTAAACTAAAAACATGAACATTTTACTGGGATATACATAAATATGTTAATAAGAAATTTAGGAGTTTAAGTAGTACCCAAAAGCGTCATGATCAGTTTTACACGACATTTAATGTGACATCTAACTGTTTAGAAAGCTAAGTTTAGGTAAGTGTAAGGTGACAAATCAAATCTTCATCTATAAATTTAATGAAACCATGCATTCATCAATCACACATTTATCACAAGAGTCTCAAGAAAACTCGCAAGTAAATAAAGAATCAAATGGCAAGGCCAACGGTGTACATTGTTTTCGCTCAAATCTTCCTCGTTACGTTATTTCATCTTGGTATGAGCTCTCAAACTAAAGAATGCACCAGCACCGTGTCTCTCACCCCTCAGTTTTACGACAAATCGTGCCCCAAAGCACAAGCCATTGTCCAGTCTTTCGTCGCCAAAGCATACTCGGACGACCCACGCATGGCAGCCTCATTGCTTAGGCTTCATTTCCATGACTGCTTCGCCAATGTTTGTCCAAAATCTAGTTTCTTTTCTAAAACTTAATTAAATATATTTATGGATAACTATTTATGAACCTTGCTTGCTTGGGTCGAGCAGGGATGTGATGGTTCTCTATTATTAGACAGTACCGGAACCATGGAAAGCGAGAAACGATCAATCTCAAACGTAGACTCTGCTCGAGGGTTTGAAATCATCGACGATATCAAGTCTTCCTTGGAAAATGAATGTCCTCAAACAGTTTCTTGCGCTGATATTTTGGCTCTCGTTGCTAAAGACGCTACTGTTATGGTAAGTCAATTTCCGTATTAATAAATTCTAATGAATATTCGTTAATTAATTCAGTTATATTACACAGACTGGTGGTCCGAGTTGGAAAGTATATTTAGGAAGAAGAGACGCAAGAGAAGCAAACTTGATTGCTTCTAACAACAACATTCCTATTGCCAGCTCCACGTTTCAAACAATTGTCACCAAGTTCAACGACCAAGGACTCGATCTCACGGATCTTGTTGCTCTCTTAGGTACTACACTAAAGTTAAATTTCGATTATTGTGTTTATAGAAAGTGTAAACATATGATTCGATCAACTTTTAAGTGATACTTTTAAGAAGGCTAAAAAGATAAATTAAATTACTTTATGCTAAAATTTAAAAAGTGCCATTCGAGTTTATGATTTTATGTTTTTGCAGTCTATGATGTAGTTTTTTTTTTTGGGTAAAGCTTAGGAAATGGATTAAATTTTATTTTTAATTATTTTTAACCTTTGAGGATTTTTTTCTTCCTTAAAACGGTTGAGGGGTTTGTGTTAGACTTTTCTGTTGATTTGAAAAAATTATATATATACATATTCAGTTTTCTTCGTTGTGGCATATATAGTATAACTATAACATATGGCATATATACTTTGTCTGTTTTCAACATGCCTCTTATGTTCTGTCAAAGTGCACGAACCGTGACATACTATAATATTGTAACACTTATAATTAATAGCCACGATTCGAATGTAGGAGGTCATACGATAGGAAACTCGAGGTGCAAAAGTTTCAGAATGAGGCTATACAACCATTCTGGAAACAGCGATCTCGACCAGACATTGAATAAAAACTACGCCTCTGTGTTGCAGCAGGGATGTCCAAGCTCCGGTGGCGACCAGAACCTTTTTGCTCTCGACTATGTGACGCCGAATAAGTTTGACAACCAATACTTCAAGAACCTGATGACGTTTAAAGGACTCTTGAGCTCTGATGAGGTTTTATACACGAAGAGTCAAGACTCGCAGAAGCTGGTCAAGCTTTACGGAGCTAATGAGGAATTGTTCTTTCAGCAGTTCGCAAAGTCAATGGTGAAGATGGGAAACATCTCACCGTTGACCGGGACAAATGGTGAGATCCGGAGGATCTGCCGGAGAGTTAACAATTAAAACGTCTAATTAAGTTTACAATTAAAAAAAAAAAAGTTTACATACTTGGATAAGTAAATTCATATGGGTTTGATTAACGTTTCTTGATTTGTGTAGAGGTTGAATTCTTTTGGATATGTTTTCATTGATGAGTTTGGAGTGTATGTATTTTTATGTTAACAACTACTGAGTTTGGTGTTTGATCTCTAATATTACTTGGGTTTCATATTTAATTAAGAGGTAATTTGCTAAAAATCCAAAAAAATGTCGAAATTAGCTTAATGCCTAAAACAGTGAAAAGTTAGATTTAGTTGTAGTGTCAGAACATGTAAAATTACATGTGAAGCCCTCGCGAAAGTTTTATCTTGTTTGTGTTATAACCTTATAGGTCGTTAGCTGGCATAGAGATCTGTTAAAAAATTATGTGAATATATGGTAAAAAATTTATTTGATTTGTTAGAATACAAACTTCATCCACTCAATTTCTAAACTTAAAAAAATGGGAAATTAGTTGAGATAACCAACAAAAAACCCATAATTCACTATCTAATAAAAATCACACCTTCACTATCTAATTCGTCTTGTCTTATTTGTCACCATCTTCCTCTGTTTCTTTTTTTCATTATAATGAATCTAACCAAAAAAAATCATGAATTCAAAAACAATCGCGAGTTCATGAGTATCTCTGCTATTTTCTCCATTTTCTTCCTCCACATAATCACTTGATCACACCTAATCTCTTTTGTTCCAACATCGTTCAAAAATTCTTCGTGTCCCTCCTCCGACGATCACACAAACCGAGCAAAAATCACATGCCGATGTTTGTCAGGAATACAAGAGTCTTCATATTGCAAACCCTTATTTTGGTAACCAAGCCTCTACAAGTAATTTTATTGTCGAAGTGAGAACAAGATTAGCGATGGTGATGCTACGTCATGAGAGGTAGTGCTGAGATCATGCCTCCAAAAATTCTCTAGTCATGTATCTAGGTAGTACTGACAAAATATTAGTCGGGCAATATTTTAGTTTTTCAGCTACAACATATATTAACTGGATAATAGTTTTAGCTATCTGATCGTGTGTGTAGTTGTCATTTCACTGGCTAACTAATTGTTTGGAAGGCTATTTACTTTGTTGGATATCTCTTTGGATGTTTATATAAGCGATATCACTGATCTGTTTGCCAAATAAAATTACAAACCGGCTAAATAATTACTTACACAGATATTAACTTTGATAAATGTTTATTTTCTGTTAAGATAACGGATACCAAGATAATTAATTTGATATGTTGAACAGTAAACCATAAACCAATACCTTAAACCCTAAATCCTGAAACTATAATACTAAACACTAAACACGGAAACCACAATACTAAACACTAAACATTAAAAGGTAAACACTGAACCCTAAACCCTAAGTCCTTGACAGTGAACCGTAACGCCTTTACCCTAAGCCCTAACCAAAATCTAAGCCCTACACCCCTGGACCCTATACCCTAACCGTGAACCATAAACCAATACCTTAAACCGTTAACCGTGAACCGTAACGCCTTTACCCTAAGCCCTAACCAAAATCTAAGCCCTACACCCCTGGACCCTATACCCTAACAGTAAACCATAAACCAATACCTTAAACCCTAAATCCTGAAACTATAATACTAAACACTAAACACGGAAACCACAATACTAAACACTAAACATTAAAAGGTAAACACTGAACCCTAAACCCTAAGTCCTTGACAGTGAACCGTAACGCCTTTACCCTAAGCCCTAACCAAAATCTAAGCCATACACCCCTGGACCATATACCCTAACCGTGAACCCTATATGCTCAAATAATATATCCAAAACACTCAACTCTAAACCCAAAATTGTACTTATTCAAGTGTCTAACCGGATAAATAATTGCTTGTACGACTATTTACATTGTTCGAGTCTATTTGGGTGTTTACATGAAATATATCAGTTGTAGTATTTACCTTTACATGGTAACTAACCGGCTAAGTATTTGTTTAGAGGGCTATTTACTTTGTTGGATATCTCTTTGGATGTTTAAATATATAACTGGTCTACCTTAATAAGATTACAAACTGTACTTATACAAGTGTCAAACCGGCTAAATAATTGCTTGTACGGCTATTTACATTGTTGGAGTCTATTTGGATGTTTACATGAAAGATATCATTTGTAGTATTTACCTTTACATGGTTATTAACCAGCTAAGTATTTGTTTAGAGGGCTATTTACTTTGTTGGATGTCTCTTTGGATGTTTAGATAGACAATATCACTGGACTGATTTTATCTTAATAAAATTACAAACTGTACTTATACAAGTGCCTAACCGGCTAAATAATTGCTTGTACGGATATTTACATTGTTGGAGTCTATTTGGATGTTTAATAGAAAGATATCAGTTGCAGTATTTACCTTTACATGGTTACTAACCGGCTAAATATTTTTTTAGAGAGCTATTTACTTTGTTGGATATCTCTTTGGAAGTTTAGATAGACATTTCACTGGTCTGATTTTACCTTAATAAGATTACAAACCGGCTAAATAATTGCTTACACGGATCTTTATGTAAGGTGAATGATGTGTATTGCAGTACTATAATAAACGAAGATTTCCACTTATATTGTATAAAGTTCTTCTATGCTTGCGCTTGTCTCTTATACAAACACAAGTAAACTAATTAAGAAAACTGGATAATAAAAACACAAGTAAACTAATTGTGAGGCACAAGTTAACACGAAATAGACTGAATTAAACTCAAAACTTTCATATAACTAAACACAAAACAACAAGCTTCATTCCTTGAAATACAACAAAAAAAAATTGAAGTACAAGATAGCAAGAAACTCTTAAGGAATCTGCCAAAAATATTAAATTTTGCACAATTAATATGTCGATATATGTGACAAGTTTACAGCTTAAACATAGCAAAAAGGTAAATCTCCAAAACAATAAGAAAATATACAGGATGTTATGTCGTCGGGTTAATCATTATCAAATATTAAATGCCTTAAATAACTTAAGATAATATACATGATGTTTATTAGATCAGTTACAAATGATATAAGACATTTAAATTTTATATTATCCGGCCACACAGACTAAAATATTAGTATCACATTCTCTAAGAGAACTCATCATTGATCATTACTAAGACCTGCAACTATCATTAGTGAGCATCCAAACAATGGAAAACAGAAAATTATATCACATTATACAACTTTATATATCTTTTATACACTACAAAAAAAAATAAAGAAAAAAAATTGAAAATTAAGAAAATAAAGTTAATAGTATAATCATGTACCTTAACCGTCCATATCACTCATTAGATTCAAATATAGTAAGATTCAAATGTTGATCGTATGAAGGTTTGAATGTACAGAGGTTTTTGTAAGATTCAAATGTTGATCCCATCAAAAGGAGAGAGAAACATGAAAAAGAGGTGAAGCAGAGAAACGGCCGAGCTATGGTGAAGCAGGGCAATGGCTGAAATTCTTTTTGGTACTGTGTCATCTTAACAGTTATTGATACTTCTCCAACGGCGAAAATTCCCCAAGAAATAAGATAAGCTGATGCTTCCTCGTCTTATAAGTCTCCGGATATTGATTTGATGTTCTTGTAGAAATTGGAGATCAAGATAAGAGATGAATGAAGGTGAGATGAAGATTTTGATTTTTTCTTATAAAAAGAAATAGATATCAAAGATATGAAAAAGCACAAACTTCGTCTAACATAAGAAAATTTGCACATTAGCCATAAGGATAACAGAGGAAATATAATTATATACTGTTCGTAAATAGTGTAGATTGGTATATACCTAAATACACTAAAACTTGTTGGTGTGGAACCTAATTTCTCTTTAATTAATGTGATTCATTACTGTTATTTGGTTTTACGTAGTGTTTGTTTTCTTTGGCAGTCTTATACTTTTTCTTTTTGTCAATCTTTATTAGGTTTGACATTTTATCCAAATTCGAAAATCCAAACGAAACTGACCCAAAATTATTTCAACAGAAACAAAATCAAAATTTATAAGTATCTAATAAGATTTAAAATTCTTTTACCCGAAAAAACCAGACCTGAGAAAAACAATCCAAAAAAACTCAGATCTTAAAAGAATCGGGCGAATGAATCCGACACGATAATCGATTTATACACGACTTTAAAACATAAATCTCCAAAATTATGATTTTTGTATTTTATTTTCTCTATTTTATTTTATGATTTGTTAAATTGTCTTTTTGTTAACAATCTTTAGTAAGTAGTATGAAGCTTTAATGTAAACAAAAATTTATTAAAACAGAATCATCCTTATGATTTACCCATACTTTTACTTGGAATATTACTTAAATTGCCATTGAATTTACTTTTTAAAAAAATAACTGATTATTACATAATTTTACCTACGTCATATGCAACAGAAACGTTACTGTAAAATGTGAATCTCCACTAACCTCCATGGGTCCCATGCCACTACTAATCCCTCGCACGTACACCAACTCCCCTTCACGTTTGCATCCCATATATAATTTCCTTAATTTTCTTTTATAAATACATTTAGTGCTGTCATAAACTTTTTTAAGAATGAACTTTACCAATAAAAATTTCAATACAACTAACTACAGGTATTGTACAAGAAGTTTTTAACTAAGATATTAACATGATTATAAAATAGTACTCCCACCGTTTTTTATTACGTAACGTTTTCTTTCTGTACAAATATTAAAAAAATATCTTTAATCAAAATTATTATTAAGATATTTTCCATATTACCTTTTCTAAAACAAAAAAACTGTTTTATTTTTACTATTAATAGTTTAATTCTGGTTGTTTCATAAAATTTTAGATTAACTGTCAGGAAAATTTTACTTTAAATAGCTTGAAAAAGTGCAGGAAAATATTGTTGTTTGGTATTTTAAGAACGGATAAGATTTTATAGACACTGATCTTTCGTGTTGTCGGTCTCCTTATTGTAGACTTTGTAGTGACAGCAACTTTTAAAGCCATTGCTCTTTTATTTAACTCAATAATACCATACTAGTTCTCTCTCTTATTCATTATTTGGAAACTCAAAACACACAACAGAAAGAAAAGAAACAAACAAGTTTTCAAAGACACATAATCAAACGGTTTCAAGAAAAGAGAGATAGAGAGAGAGAAGCTTTTGTTCCACTGTGTTTGATTTAAGCATCATCTTCACCGAGAAGTGCGACGAGCATCTTCTCGTAGTCTCCACGAGTGTCTTTGGTAATGGCTTTCTCCAATGGAATGCTGTTTCTTCTCTGGAACTCTTCTCCGATGACCTTCAAGTCAACCTCAGCTCTTGTGGTCACAATTCTAGTGAGAGCTCCTTCGTCTGTTCCGGTTTTGTTGATTGCTGAACGAAGAACCTCCACAAAGTAAAGCTCTGGTCGTGTCAAGCACTGAATGGTTGACCTCAACAGTCCGAGGAACTTGTCGTCCTCATCTACTTCCTCAAGGCTCTGTAAGAACAAGACTTTCAATTATATTATTCAAAAAACAACAAGATCAACTTAAAATGAACAGTTTGGGCTTCCACTACCTTGAGGATTTCCTCGCCGTGATTATCTTGGTAGCGATTGAAGGTAGCATTGATCTGTGCTTTGCTCCTAGTGGACAAAATCCTAATCACATCTTCATCGTTGTACTGCTTGTCCTTGATTTTCTCATAGATCAGCTTAGCCTCTTGCTTAGCCAATGTCATGTTCACCTCGTCCCCTTCGTACCTGTACGAGCTAACAAGAGAAACCAAAAGCTGCAAAAAAAAAGAAAACAACAACTCAATAACTGTGTTTCAAGTAGTAACAAAAAAAAATCATTTCGAAGGATTATTATTAATGAATAACCTTTCTGAAGTCACCGGTGGTGTGGTGAGCGACATCCTCTTCCATAGACTTCTTGAAGCGAGCATGGTAAGCTTGCCTAGCGTGAAGCAGCTGAGTAGATGTCCTAGTGCAAGCTATTTCCATAATCACTTGGTTGCTTGAAGTCCATCTTTTGGTAGCTTCATTAACCAACAAAGCATCACGTTCACCCCCTTCAAGAGTCCAGAGCAAGATGGATCTCTATCCAATCAATGAAGCACAAAACCATATTAAGACCCGCACACAAAAAAAAAAAAAAGAAAAAAAGTTTGGTAAAATCCTAGTAGTACCTCAAAGTCGTTTGTAAGTTCCTTCTCAAGACTCTTGAGAAGATCTTCTCCAACGGAGTCATGGTATGCTTGCCTGATCAGCTTCCTCTGTTCAGCACTTCTGTGAGCCAAGATTGATATGATCAAGTCCTCGTTGGTACCCCATCCTGCAAGAAAGCAAAAACGAATCAGAGTCAATAAAAAGTCAAATGTCAGATTCAAGATCAAACAAAAGCAGGTTGTTTGAAATGTATTAAAATCTCTAGATCTACGTCTTGGATTATGAACAGATCATCCAAAACATAACTAAATATTTCAGATCCGTTATCTGTGACTGTTACAAAGTATACAGTCATACAAATCATTGTCAGTATCAACATGACTAGATCATAACAATCAAAAGATCAATACTACTGATTAGAGAAACCAAAAAGACTACAAGTATAAAAAAAAATGTTCTAGATCCAACACAATAACGATCAAACCAGTTGAGTATCAAGCTGGATCTACGACAACACAATAAAAAAACATGATCATAATACACTACCGACAACGATCTCGTCGTCTGAGAAAAACAAAACTCGATCCAAATCAGCAAAACAAAACATACTACCAAAAACAGCAGATTCATCATCTTTTAAACTGATGGGACATTGATCGGGTGGGTACATACAAAAACAGAGAACATAAAACAAAACATAAACTATACCTTCAAAGGCGCTTTTCAGTTGCTCAGCATCTTCAGAGGGAGAAGGAATAGAGGAAGAAACCTTAATGGTCGCCATTTTTGCTTTGGAAGTTCTTTTATCTCTTTCGCCTCTAACTCTCACGTTTATGATAAGAGTCGTAGCAGGTAGATGATTAGTTTATATAGAGGCAAAAGTGTAAGGCTCTAGGACACGACGAGACCTCTACGTATTAGCTAATATTAAAATAAAATCTCTATTTTATTGATAAAACATAATACAATCATATATTTAATTAGTTCTCTTTTTTTTTGGGTCAAATTTTAATTAGTTATCTTAATTAATTAATTAATGCATTAATTGGTCGAGGTCCATGAGCCGTCAACCATACAAACATTATCCAGACTTATGGCCTCGTCTTCATTATTTCTCTCCTCTTGTTGGCTCGTAATACCAACCTCATTAGCGTTAAACCAGGTTTCATATTCATTTTTTGCGTGTCGTACTAACTCCAGCTAATCCCTGTATCTCCAAATAGTTAATCATTTTGATCTTTCCAATTATACCAAATTATCCAAAGACATGAATATATGTCCAATTCTGGTTTAACTATGGTGTTCTAAAGAGATAATCCATGTTAGCATATATGCTTTGGAGGAGGAAGATGTTGGGGTTTGATGGTGTAGATGATAAAGACCATACTTGTATGGCAGGAGGACATTCAAAAATAACATGTGTAACAGTTTCATCAGGTTCCTCACTTCTTGAGCAGTAATTTTCACACCTCATATTTCTATTGTTCAGATTTTTCGTCACAACCACATGCCTTGTTATTATTTGCCACATAAATGGTAAAAAATTATGTTGTTTTTACTTTCCAAGCAATGGCCTGAAGCTTGGTGATACTAGGCTCCGTGGTCTCCACCTCTCTTTTAGACTTCAATAGATTCCAAACTACCAAATATCCAGAATTAACGGTATATCGGTCATTCTTAGTATAGTTCTAGCAGAATGTATCTCGACGACGGCTAACACTAGTGGCTAAATTTCTTAAGAGTTATATCCTCAGGGGAAACACATCTCTAATAATCCAACATCCCATTTGTGTGTTTATCTATTAATAAAGTCATTCACTCTCATGTTCGAGTGTACTACCAAGACAGAGGTACATAAGTAACATAATAATTTATACTAGCCATTACATAAATATATATATACACTATACTTTAAAAATAACTATATTATAGAACAAATATAATAACAAAAATAATTATGAAATATATTAAAATATATATTATCTGAAGAAAAATGTTTAACATTAATTGTAAACATCAAATTTAAACTTATTAATATGAACCAAATTATTAACAAGATAATTTACGTGAAGCACTTATAATAAAGTAATTAAACTATATAAAAAGAGCAATATGATCAAGATATATTTATAGTTCTTAATTATTTATATTTATCATTTTTTCTATCAAAATTTTGTAAAAAAATGATAATTTCATAAAATTTCAAAATAATGAACTTCAAAATTTGGACTAAAAGGTGAAATTTATGAAACTGTAGCAACTTAAATCCAATTAGGTTACATATCAGTCATTTGTTGGTTCAATTAGTTAGTCTCAGATTTTTGTGATTTTTATTGATTTTAAATATGAATATTTTTAAAATCTAAACCGAATTATTCGATCACCGGATTAACCGGTTACCGAGGATCCGGATCGAATTAAAAAAAAACTAATTTAAATGCATAAATACATTAAATAGACAAAAAAATAAATTAATAAAATATTTGTTAAGTTATTAGTGAATTCATCATAAAATATTCCAGCGCATGTGATAATCTAGTATAACACTAATAAAAAATCTTAATATTAATAACGTTAGTAATAATAATTTAATTTTAACTATAAAAATTTAAACTTCATTTTAGTTATAATAAAATCTAATAAATCCTGTATAAATTTTAAATATTTTTTATAAAACAGTGCATTAATTAGTTATTTAAAATAAATGTTTATCGTTCACTTTTAAACAGAGTAAAATTCAAAAATTATGCAATATTTTAATACAGAAAATAAATTATTAACATATATTAACTTTATCTCTTTAACTATATATTATATTTATTTATTTTGAAATTCACAATAATATATTATCTAAATAATATCATACAAAATATAATAGTATATAACTAATCTTTAGTTCATGTATTATTTATAAATATACTATGAGAAAATGTTGATAAACAAATAAGTAATTAAATATATTAATGCAAATCTTAATTATAACAAAATTTGTTAAAAAAAATATAAAAATCTTACCAAATATTTTGTAAATAATGAATTAAATTCGTATCAAAAAATTCCAAAACCATAATCTTTTCAGAAATATTTTCTAAATTTCAAAATTTGTATCTTTTTCTGATAGAAGGCAAAATACATATAATATTTTATTATCTCATATCTTAATTTTAGAAAATTTATGAGTATTTTCAGATCAGTCCCTTAAGTTTCTGATATTTTTCAGGACAGTTTTGATGCACTGGTCCGATTTGGCTTCTTATTCTTACTTCTTTATTTCTGAACGGAAACAAACATAAAACCATGATTATTACGATAGTACACTAGGGTTTTATTTATCCGATCACACATTAGTACTTCTACCTTAAACATCACGGGACTATATAATACCATAATACAGCATGACTTTACTCTGTTATGTTCTGTAACTTGTTAAAGAAAGAGAGCATCTCCTCTGAGACTTGTTTAGACTTTTCTTGCTGGATATAATGATGACCATCTTCAATAAAAGTAATCTCAAGATTAGGTACAAGACCCTTGAACATGTCTCCTCTTGCATACTGCTTCTTTCCATGTTCTCCTTCATTGCCCATATCTTTATCTCCAAAAATAAATTTTGTGGGAACAACTATTTTGGAGTCTTGCCACGGTGCCAATATCTCCCAGTTCCTGAAACTCTCACTTAAATACCATTTTTCTTACAAACATAAGAGACTCAAAGAGAGAGGTTAAACTCACAGATCCATGGCTCGGTAGTAGTTTAAAGGGCCAGTGAATCCAGATATTTGAAACTTGTCTGCATAAACCTGAAGCTCATCTTCTGTTATCCAATCTGGAATCGTCGATGATATCTCAAGATCATTGATGATCTCTGTGTCAGGAGGAGCCACCAAGTAATCAGTTCTTGATGTGAGGAAGAACTTCTTCATAACCGTCAAGATATCATGCTTTGCAAATGCAGCCTCAGCTCTTCCTTGTTGCTTGTGAAACAAGAATTGAAATCAAGGTCAACAATGAGTGGTACTATGAACATAGAATGTGATTTGAAGATTTACCCGAAACTGGGAGATATATAAACCATCTCCAAAGATTTTGGAAAACTCAGAAGGTTTGAGATTTGGATCTCTTGGAAAATATGGAACAGAGAGGCTTATGAAACATTTGACTCGCACTACAAGAAAACACAAATTTTACTAGGACGCCTTTGCCTCGTAATTTCCTACTAAAGGACTATTTACTAGGAAATTATGAGGAAACACATTTTGTCGTAACACGTTTATCGTAAAGTTTTTTTCTTCGTAAGTTCCTAGTTAATTTACGAGGAAACATTTCGTCGTAAACGCATGGATACTTATTTCGTCGTAAAGTCCTCGTACAGATTTCCTTGTAACTGGTGTCGTAACACTTTTCCTCGTAAGCGTGTCGTAATGCTTTACGAGAAACTTACTTCAAAATGTTTACGAGGATTTTATTTCGAAATGTTTACGAGGAATTTACTTTGAAATGTTTTTTCCCTATTAAAAAAGTAATAAATAAAATAAATATAAATAATATATTTTTAAAAAATTAAGGAATCCAAATTATAAATAAAAAAGAAATAACTAAATATTTTATAAATAACTAAATATTTAAATTTTAAATTCATAACATACAATTAAAAAGAAATAAAAAAACTAAACTACGGATGCTGGTCGTTAAATTGACGAACGAAGTCGTCATCCCGACTCGCCAACTCCTCCTCGTCCATGTTGGCCATTGACGGTTGTGACTGTGACGGTGGATGATGTTGGATTGGAAGCCCTCCGTTTTCCCGTCTGACATGCAACATCTCCAACAATTGCGGGTTTCCAACCTCCAAAACGTTCAGGATATCAGAGAGAGAACTCACATGAGATTGCATCGCCTGCAACTCCGAGCGCAGCTGAGCAGTGACATCATGCTGTTCATGAGCATAAGACGATGTCGCTGTGACATCGTTAACAGAACCAATCCCGACGATACGTCCCATTTTTCTAGGGCGATCTTTAAATAAAAAGATTAATAACGTTAAAAAAATAAATTAAATAAATAATAAAAATTAATAGAAAAACAAATTATTTACCTCCTCGTAAATCTTATCCACTTCAGGAGTGGATAATATGACAGGTGTCTCAGACTGCTGAGTCAGCTGGGTCTGGCGGTGGTCAACGCGAGCAACAACCTCGTTGTAGATTTGCTCGGATCTAGGATCTATAAAATGCCCAGCCTTGTTCCGGTGGGTCCTCTCGTAAAGCTCTTTCAGAGATGGAAGAACTCCTGTCTCTTTAGCCTAAAAAGGAATTTTAAAAATTAATTACTAATTAGAAATATATAAATAAATTAAAAAATATTAATTAGTTATTAAAATATTAATTTACCATGTCTAGACGGATTCTCGCGTGAGGTCTTCGACCCCCCGATGTGAAGCATATTCGTGTTGTCATGCTCGTCTTTAGTCATGTGGTTCTCGGAGTTTGTGTTGGAGGTTCTGATCGAGTCTGGAAACCTCCAATATCTGATGAGGCCATCCCACACTTCATATGTGAGGCAATCGGGTTTCCCCTCCTCGTAACCATCCACCTGAACAAAAAAAAGTTATTTTAAAATTATTTGAAGTCAATGATATAAAATTATATAAAATTGATAAACTAATCCACCTGAAAATCGCCCTTTTAGTTGTAGACCATGTCGAGCAATCGCTGTTTGCCCTTCGCCTCAAACTCCTTCTTCACCCGTTGGTGAATCCCTATGGACCAACGATATTTTTGTTGTAACCAGAACATATTAGACCAATAATTATTAATTAGTTGAATAATATTAAAAATTTTAAATAATTTAAGCTTATTAAATGACTTACAGCGAACGATTTGAACCACGTCTTTTTGGTGTGGCTGGGCGTCTTTTTCCAGTTTGGAGCTGGATCGGGAAAGTATCCCTTGATACAATCGGTGACGCTCTGAGCGACACTTCCGTCAACATTAAACCTGGACAAAAAAATAATAAAAACATTAATTAGATAATTTGTTAATTTTTGGTTAATTAATAAATAAATTAAAAACACTTTTTAAAAATTGAAACATACCAAAATATGTTGCGGCCGTCCCGTCGGAGAGGATCTAACTCAGGTAGCTCTTCTCTGCCTGGAGCTGCCATAATATCCTTGACCGTGTAGACCGCAAATGGAGCGTTTGACGGCACTTTCAAATCGGGATGAACCCCGGCGACCGGTGTAGGAGGAGGAGGTAGTGGATCAAACCGGGGAGCCGGAGAAACTCCCTGAGTCTCGGGAACAACGTCATCCGTAATCGAAGAATCGGGAACTGAAGAAGATGATGCGCCTATGTGAAGGCTAGGCTGACGACCGAAAATATCTCTGTAATGACCGATCGGTCTGGTCTAAACAAGCATAGAGACCAACCTATGGTTTCTCCCCAGTCATTCCCCGCCACAAAAGCCTATACATTTGTTTTATATGTATAAATTAGAACGTTATATGTATAAATTAGAACATAATTTTCAAGAAACCTATCATAATTTTCAAGAGTATTGAGTTATTGGTTTGAGTATTTCAACTAATTTATAAATCTATCTAGAATTTGACAAAAAGAATACCATTGAACATAATCACATATAACAGAAAACAGTCTTAAGAAAATAAAAATAAACATTTAGCTGAATTTACAAATCAGTTTAGAAAAAAAAAAGAAGAGAGAGAGAGAGAGGTGAAACTCACTCTTAAGTGAGAGTGACTAATGCTTAAGTGAGCTTACAACATAACTAATGCTTAAGTGAGAGATTGTCGGACCAGTTGCGTAATTTATTTTGAGATGAGGAAAAAGGAGACCATGTACGAGTTTCTTGTGTAAGGCTTTGAGTAGTGGAGCTCAATGAAAAAAGCATGTAGCAACTGTGAACACAAAAATGCAACCAACAACTCTTGTTGAATCACCTGTAAACCTGCACCACACAAGAGAAACATCAACAGAGTTGACCACACATAGAAGCAAACCTGAAAATCAAAGAGAAAGGATCTCATATCTTCTTATAAAGGTAGTCAACAGCGTTTTCTCGCCAAAACTAGAAAATGAGTTTCCAGCCATACTGGAAAAACTAGTCTCTAGGAAAAAAAATTCGCATATTCTCTTTAGAACAAATAAATTAGTAGTTTAGGTACCCATGGGTTAACCTATATCCTACTGGATTTTTTTTTTGGTTTTAATTTAACCATGTTGTTTCTGGATTTTCGCGGGTAGACTATAAACTGGGTTGGGTTTTTTGTGGGTTGGACTGGGCTGGGTTATTTTAACCATTTTAACATCCCTAGTTAGCACTAACAAAGATATGTAAAATTTAGAGTTTA